TTACGGCCATATCACGTTGAACCACCGGTTCTCGTACGACCACCGAAGTTAAGTAACGTCAAGCCTGGCAAGTACCTAGATGGGTGACCACTTTGGAAGACCAGGTGTTGTGAGATTAGGTGTGCGGGTGGTGTAATGGATAAAGGCTCGAAATTGGAAATCAGGGAGTCGAGTTTCAGTTCCAGTCGGGTTCCTTACATATCCCTGGGAAAAGGTATGAATCCACCTCTTCTCCCCCCAACTATGGGTTAATTAGTAAGACTTGTATCAGTAAATCATTATTATCATAAAAAACTCTTAGAATCCAATAATATTTTTGGCTTTAAATAACCAGCAAAAGTTTGATGAGCCGTAAAAACCAAAATCAATCAATCAAAAAGAAAAAAAAATTCCCGTGAGTGTCGAATTTTCCAAGCCCTCTTTCCTCGTTAAGTGTTCCAGAAAGTTTAGCCGTCTTGGTCTGATTTTGACTATAAGTGTTTATTTTGTTTCCATTTTATGCTTACACTATGTTATACAATGTCTTTCCTAAACAAAAAAAAACACTTTGGCACGTATAAAGTGAGCTAGAAAACGAATACAGAAATCAATACAAGTCATGAAGAACAAGTGCCTACCAATAAGATGCTTAAAGAATAAAATATAAACAGGCAATATTTATCCCTAACAGGAGTAGATAGGTTTGCCTATTGTCCGGTTCGCTTTCCTCCCCGGTCTTTTGAACAGGAGTAGAGGTTTATCCCTTGTTTCCTTTTCAGAAGTGGGTTTGCCATTTCTTCCAAAACCTACTTTAATTCTTGATTTCAATCGTATCCGCCTAAACTCTGAAATTTTACTTACGAAATTTTTTTTTTAATTCTCAATAGGAGTAGATAGGTTTGCCTGTTGCCCGGTTTCCACTCCTTCATGATCTTTCTTTCTTTCTTGAAACTTTTGAATTCTTTCTTTCTTTTTTGTTTTCGATCATCTGATTTTTTTCTTTCTTTCTACCATTTTTTCTTTTTGTTTGCGATCATCTGATTTCTTTCTTTCTTTTCATCTGATTTTTTTGTTTCTTAATTTTTTTCTGTTTTGACTCTTCTCATTTCTTTCTTTCTTTCTTTCTTTCTTTCTTTCTTTCTTTCTTTCTTGAATCGTCTGATTCTTTCTTTTTTTGGATCATCTAATTTCTTTCTTTCTTTTTTGAATCGTCTGATTTCTTTCTTTCTTTCTTTCTTTCTTTCTTTCTTTCTTTTTTTCTTTCTTTCTTTTTTGGATCATCTGATTTCTTTCTTTGCTTTTTGTATATTTATCACTTTCATTCCACCTCTTACTTCTCTTCCCTGTTTCTCCTCCCCCACCCCCACTGATTCTTGAACTTCGGCGCGATTGTTTTTTCTGCCCTCCCCATTTTTTTTTCCAAATTCGACAACATATTTTTTCTCTGTCACATTTCATTGGCTTATTAATGAAAATTGATGACCCTTAAAACAAAGCGATAATATTTGGGTTTCGTAAATAGACAATAAATCATGTCTTCCCCTCAACAGTCAACATATTTAAACTCGAAAACAGAATGAATTCCAAAGATGATCAGTACGTATTAACACGTAACAAGCCAATAGCTTACTTAGTGGTAGCAGTAGTAATAAGTAGTAGTACTAGTAGTTATGCTATAAACATTTCTTGAAATTTTATCGTCATCAAAACGTTTATAGGAAACTAAATCTTTCATACATAAAATTATTGTTTATTCACTACTGGACCTCATCAATTAATAATTGGCGTGAAGGTGTGTGGTTTGGGGAATTTTCTTCAAACATTGATATTATACTCGCTAGAATACGAGAAACTCTAGCGATTTCCTACCGGATGTATGGTATTAGTAAAATTAATACCAACCATTTCCTTATAAGGAAACATTCGGCATTTATTGAGCGAATCGTTAGTGCTCCTATCGGTTGAGGTTTTTTTAATAAAAGTTTTCTCTTAAAAAAAAAAAATTCAGGAAAATAGCTTTCCTAAGCCCAGTAGCTGTTATATCTCTTTCCAGTATTGATGGGGATTTCCTTCCTTATCTTTTGCTTGAAGTAGTGTGGAATGTCAGCCTCTTTGCTATATCATTATTTTCTCTTCGAGTTTTGTCCGTTATCTGTTGACCATGTTTTCCGTAGTCTCTGAATATGGAATCCAGTGAAGTCCATAATTTCTTCAATATCAAAGTTTGGCAGTGTAGATTCGGAGAAAGTAGCAGCTGTTAATTCTTTAAGTCTTCAATATCAGGTTGGTGGGAAAGAGAGTTAATGGCTGCAGTTTTACGTCCCACCCAGGACTAATAAGTCCCTCTTAGGTCTTTATTAGTCCTGGGTAGGACGTAAAACTGCATCCATTAGTTATTGTCTTAAGAGCCGTCAGTTTTTGGTATGAATGTAAGTCTTTAGTTTCAGGGTATAAACGTAAATAGTCCTACTTTTAGCCCAATCCTTCTTTGAATGACTCTCAGGATCACTCTGACCCGGAGTGATAGTGACTGTTTTAATGGGTCCCAGCTATGGGTAAAATAACAACTTTTTCGACTTTTTTTTTTGCTGTGATCACAACCCAAATTTATAATATTGTTGTTAATGTATATTAAACTGAAGTACTTAACAGTGGACAAAATGATATAACTAATTTTTGTGGATATTAATTTTCTTTAAAAAAAAACAAAATTCTGAATATTAAAATATTTGTTCCATATGAATATTGACTTTACTAATATTTTGAAAGAAGATTCCATAATATACCCAAAAAATGAAGGGGTGTTGCAGTTTTTTTGGGTATTCTGTACTAGTGAACTAGTCAAAATGAGCTGACTCATTTTATAGTTCACCAATAGAACGGTTAACCAATCAGAAAGCTCAAAAAACTGCAACATTATCCATTTTAGTTGTTGCCGCTGTTGGAAGTCCTCAAGTGATATGGTTTCTGTTATTTGGTACAGTTCTGTGTTTGTGGTTGTCACGCCGGTCCTCGAGCTTCTGAAGTAGTGTGGTCCTCGCTAAGACCTACAGGCTTCACCCACCCGAAGCCATGTTTAACCACCGACCCGAGAATGCGTCAACCGATAATTTCCAGATTTTTGAACGAGTCTGGCAACATGTCGATATGGAAGTCTCCATCTGACGTGACTATTGAAAGCCATGGTTCATGTTTTTAGGTCAATGCTATGCGGTTTCGCCTCGTATGCGTATTCGACGCGCATGTTGGGAGCAGCCACTGACAACGCGGTCACTATGAGCTTACCTTCCAGGAAAATACTATGATGCACTTGATTCCTCTGCAGTTTTGATTTTGAAAATCTCTTCCCAGGATCGTCGCACAGGGGCTGTTGAAGTTTTGTGATGTCAACGAACACTCGTTGCGACTTTCGTAAATGCTCGTTGTAGTAGACACCTTCGAAAAGCACTGGCTCTAATAGTACTTGCTCGGTAATACTCGCTCGAAAAGTAACCATCGAATAGTGATCCGAATAGTAATCTCTATATTGATCACTTAGACGCCACGCTAATTCCCATATGACAAAGAAATGTTTAACTAAATTTTGTGATGTCAACAAACACTCGTTGACACTTTTGTAATGTCAACGAATACTCGTTGTCACTTTTATAATGTTCGTTGTAGTAGAGACTTTGTAATCGCAGATACAACTATATTAACGCCGTTGAACAATACTGGTGTCAGACGCCTTCGAATATCACTCGTACTAATAGTACTTGCTCGATTATACTCACTCGAATAGTAACCACCGAATTGTGATCCGAATAGAGGAATAGTATATTGAATAGAGTAGAGAATAGCGCTCCGTATAGTAATAGAGGATAAGAGGAGAAATAGCGATCCGAATAGTAATAGAGGATAGACTAGTATAGCGATCGTTAGTCGTCACAGTAGGGAGACACGTTGGAGTGTTAATAATACTCCCCCCACCAAATCCTTAATTGGGTTAACTGGACGAAATAAGTAGGGGACTTTAATAATTTTTGTAATGTCAACGAATACTCGTTGTCACTTTCGTAATGCTCGTTGTAGTAGAGACTTTGTAATCGCAGATTACAACTATAGTAACGCCATTGAACAATACTGTAGTCAGATGCCTTCGAATAACACTTACTTAATTAGTACTTGCTCGAGAATACCCGCTCGAATAGTAATCACCGTACTGATCCGAATAGAGAATACTGAAGAGAAGAGAATAAAGAATAGTGTTACTTCATCGTAGTAGCTTACCAATTGTCTTTAATGAAACTTTTGTGATGTCAACGAACACTCGTTGTACCTTTTGCAATGTCAACGAATATTCGTTGTCACTTTCGTAATGTTCGTTGTAGTAGAGACTTTGTAATCGTACTTACAACTATACTAACGCCGTTGAACAATACTGATATCAGAGCCTTCGAATGTCACACACACTAATAATACTTGCTCGATAATACTCGCTTGTAAAGTAACCATCGAATAGTGATCCGAATAGTAATCTCTATATTAATCACTTAGACGTCACGCTAATTCCCATATGACAAATGCCCATTGGCAAAGAAATGTTTAACTAAATTTTGTGATGTCAACGAACACTCGTTGCCACTTTTGTAATATCAACGAATATTCGTTGTCACTTTCGTAATGCTCGTTGTAGTAGAGACTTTGTAATCGCAGATACAACTATAGTAACGCCGTTGAACAATACTGGTGTCAGACGCCTTCGAATAACACTCAAACTAATAGTACTTACTCGATAATACTCGCTCGAAAAGTAACCAGAGAATAGTGATCCGAATAGTAATCTGTATAGTGAGATATTTACTAACCGCCCCACGCGGTCGGATGCAGCACAATGCCAGTTTTATTGTGGGGTAACCGAGCCCGCAAGTTCGGTCAAAAATTACCCATAGACCCTGTCAAAAACGTCGTCGGGTAGCTGTCTTCCGAGACGAGACTCTGCCTTTCGACAGCGCCTCGTCTGGGGATCCTGTCTGTCCGGAGGCAGAGAGTTTGATCAGCACACTCGGAGGTAATCCGTAGAGTGATCAGAGTGAAGTGATATATTCACTAACCGCCCCACGCGGTCGGATGTCCTACAAGGCCGAGTTTGTT